CTGATTATAGATTAGAATAACCTGGAGAGCCAGTGGCTCATTGCTGTCAGATGACTGGGCAATGAGCTATGTGGCAACCCTATGCCGAAATTCAATTTTTTTAAGTTTTAATGGAGACAAATCCGAATCGATTTTTCATAAAATAATACTTGGCCTATTTTATTGGAAGGGTCATTTTGTTTTTGTAATTTATTATATATTATTAGTTAATTAACAATATTTTTTTGAACTCATTCATATCCCAAAAGACATAACAGATAAGAATTAAAAACTTTAATTTGATTACATCAACATATTTATTTTGTAATGTTTCGTCCTTTTTGGCCATTTTTTAAACATTTCTGTATCACCTTATTTGTACTACCTGTCCGAAAATGATCTATAGATTTTTTTATTTTTAAATATCATCTAGACAAGAAGAAATTTTAGTCAGTCAGAAACTTTTTGTTGGCGGCTGTCTTTTTTTACTTTCAGTTAAATATGTAACATACAGGGTGTCCCATAAGTAGAGGGAAATGTTTATAGGAGTGATAGCAGACCTCAAGAGCTACAAAAAAGTTCATATAAACTATAGGCCAATTTTCGGCAGAAAAGTAGCATATGCAAATTTGTGGTTTTTTAAGTGAGTCATGTTTTTTATTGAATCGAAAGCAATAACTTAAGAAATATTTAATTTAAGTAATTAACAATTTTTTCATTGTAAAGAAGATGAAATTTACTTTAAATGAACATAAGAGTTTATCATTGTTAAAACCATTTACAGAGGACTTTTGGGCTACTAAACTATAGCCCAGTAACCTTATACATCGTAAGCTGCATTGAATGGGAATAGAAGGTTTCTTTTATGGAATGTGACTGAATTGCAAAATCCAAGTTTTCGACCTTGGCTCCCCCTCTCCTTCAAAACTTTGAAAATCTGTATCTCAAAACTTATTAAATTTAGCGAACTTATTTTGGTCTTAAATTGTAGCATATTTAATTTAATTAAAAATGTATAGAATGTTTTTTGTCAAAAACTTCATGGTCGAAATGAGAAAAAAGTGCGTTGTGTCTCAGTCACATCTTATACAAGAAAAAAAGAAAGAAACCTTCTCCCCTATTCCATGTAACTTAGATTGACCCTTCTTTTCATGACAAGGTTACTGGGCTATTAAGCTAAGTTCTGTTTTAAAAAAAAACATAAATTATTGGCCTTTTTTTTTTTTTATCATCCAACTATACTAAAGTTTCCCCACTTTTACAAAAACTTCTTTGTTTTATAAGCTTTTAATTTCTATTAATTAAGTTGAGGTTTATTAGGTAAAATTTGAGATTCAACACAAGTTTAGTAAAAAAAAATATGATATTGTTTATCCTGTCAAGTAAAAGTACCCATGTTTTTAATAAAAATAACTACAATTAATTGTTGAAAATCTTTTATTTCTTATTTTCCCATGATCTACAATGTATTTTAATAAACCCAATTGCCTAAATACACATTTTATTTATAAAAATAATTAATTTGAAAAATACTAATTTTTTAAATATTTTTTCCAGTAAATCGGTTATGAATAGTTTTTTCATCCGGATCTCTATTTTATGAATTGATCCAAATTTGTAAGTGACAAACTAAATGTTAATGCTCCTAATATTAACATTTTAATTAAAATAATTGAAGCAATCAGCAGGTTTTTTTAAAAAATATTTTAAACATAAATTTTAGGACTAGAAACTTAGAAAAAAAAGTCACTCACAAATACACGTCAATTTATTCGAAATATATTTGAAAAATCAGTATTTTTCAAATTATTTTTTTTATAAATAAAAAGTGTGTTTAGGCAATTAAATTTATTAAAATACATCCCAGACCATGGAAAAACAAGAAATAAAAGCTTTTCAGCAATTTATTGTAGTCATTTTTGCTGAAAACAGGGGTACTTTTACTTGACATGTTAAAAAATATTATTTTTTAACAAAATTTGAGCTGAATCTTAAAATTTTCCCTAATAAACCTCAGCTTAATTAATATGAACTAAAAGCTTATTAAACGAAGACATTTTTGTAAAGGTGGGAAAACTGTAGTATAGTTGGATGATGATTAAAAAAAAAGGCGAATAATTTATGATTTTTCTAAAAACTGAAGTTAGCTTAGTGTAGCTACAACAGTCCTCAAATAGTTTTAACATTGATAAATTCTGTTAATTTAAAGTGAATTTCATCTTGTTTGCAATAATTTATTAATTAATTAAATTAAATATTTCTTTAGTTATAGCTTTCGATTCATTAAAAAACATAACTCACTTAAAAAACCATAAAACTTCGATTTGCTACTTTTCTGCTGAAAATTGGCCCATTGTTTATATAAACTTTTTTGTAGCTCTTGAGATTTGCTATTACTTCTATAAAAATTTCCCTCTACTTACGGGACACCCTGTATTGTAAGGTAGTTAAAGTATTGCAATCGTGAAAATTTTCTAATTTGAGTTTTCAATGGAAATACATGTTTTGAGGTACTCTGAATCAAAATAATCAAGTCCCACAAAACGGTCTGTGTGTGCGTGCGAACCGCCTAGGTCAAAACTGAAATTGTGTGTTAAGGGTTTGTATATGGTTCGGATGTGACAGTAACTTTTTCATTAAAATCTGCTATCCGGAAGTGCCACTTTATATCATCAACTTTACATAAATTTAAGATTTTCTCAAAAATGGCTCTAACGATTTTGATTAAACTCAGTGTATAATGTATAATTAAGTATTCTTTAACATCATTTAGCTCTTATCCATATTGATGTCGCTTAACAGGACTTAAATCCCCAATGTTCAAAATATCTTCCTCTAAAGTACCTTTAATTCTATATATTTTAAATAATGAACTATCTCTCATCAGTCGAGTGGGAAGAAGAATTGAAGCTACGAGGGCTGCATATAAACCCGTCTAAGATTTATGTGCGTTGGAAAAGATAATACGGAGCCTATGATGTTAAGTAATGGTGGACCCCTAAAGGTAACAAATGCATAAACGTATCTGGGGACTATCATAAATGAAGATGGTAAAGTAGACCAGGAGGTGACGTAGACCTAAATCGGGTGATAAAGGCCAATGGAATATATTACTAGATAGCCAAAACAATCATAAGAAAACAGGAAGTAAGCAGAAAGGCCAAACTCACGATATATAAGGTGGTGTTCCTCCCAGTACTTCTTTATGGATCTGAAAGCTGAACAACACTTGATAAGCACGTAGGCAGGATCACAGCATCGGAAATGAGAAGATTAGCTTCGATTTTGAAGAATAGCTGGCAAAACTAAGAGGGACTGTGTCAGAAATGACAGAATCCGTGAGGAATTGTAGGTGACATCAATCTGTGGCATCCTGGAAGAGAAGCAGGGCACATCTGCAGAATGGATGACACCCGTAAGGCCAAGTGGTTTATGGAAGGTAGACCAGAAGGCAGACGACCTCGTGGCAGGCTGAGACATACGTACCATGATTACATTCGAAAACTGGGCACAGCAAGAGGACGCACCATACTGGAGATGAGAAGACTAGTCAGGGACAGAGACCAGTGGGCAAAATGGGCTAGGACTGCAGCTCCACGCTTAACAGCACAAAGGGGCTAGAAAAAGAAGAATAAGAATTATCTCTCATTGTTAGGAATTATCAAAAAAGGCTAAATATAACTTTTTAAAAATCTGATAATTAAATAAAGGGGAAATTCTTATCCAGATCAAAAATGAATCTCTGGAAATAATAATCAGAAGGTATACATATAATGTATCATTGAAAAGTGGAGAATTTTAGGAAAAATAATATCCAATAAATAAAGTTTTAGAAGGTAATAGATAGTGGCGAACAAAATATAAATAATAATTCCTGAAAACTAACATTAATTAAATTAAATCACACGTTTCCAAGGAAATTAAAAGAAATCTTCTTATAAAATGTAAACTTTTAAGTTTGAAAAAACTATCTAAAATCCACCGAATCAAGGCAATGCCATTTAAATTAGACAATTTAAATAGTGCCATAAATTTTAAAACAGATTTATAAAATATCAACAAATCATATGCAAAATCAATAAATAAACTAAAAAAAAAAAAGATTTTTCTAATACTAAATGATAATGATGTTTTGTTTTTTATATATATTAAAAATTATCCACTAGAGTTTAGCTGAATCACTCTTTTCCTCCATTTCAAGATAGTTGCAAATAAAGCAAGCACGGGAAATGTGAAATATAGTGAAAGTGTAAATAATAGTGCAGATTCAAATTAAATTCAGACATTTATTTGTGGGAAATGCATAAAGTAAAAAAAGTTGTTTTCCTGATTTTAGATTGAAAAAAAAAATAGCTACCAACAAAAATTCCTGGCTGACAAAAAGAAATTTTCTTCTCGGCTAGATGATAATTTTTGGACAGGTAGTATAAAATAGATAAAACAGAAATGCTTTAAAATGGCCAAAAAGGCCGAAATGTTACAAAATAAATGTGATATGTCTATTCACTAATTAATAATATATTAGCATTATTACATGCTAACTTTTTATATAAGATATATACTTATGTAATAAAAAATGATTTATCAAATTAATGGTGAAAAGAATAAAGTAATTTATTATATTATTGGTATTGTTATTATTGAAAATCGGTCATCATATGTCTGTAACTTTTCCTTGCACATTCTGTTTTTTATTTAAGAATGAAAATCCGTCAGGATATGGAGTCAGTCATTAATGATGTTTATTAATGACTGTATATCCTGACTATTTTTCATCCTTATATTTTAACAGTCAACTTTGTTGCCATCTCTAAATCTTTTGGAATTTATTGGAAGAATGCAAAGAATAATGCAATTCATGAAAATTTAATCTTTACTTATAGGTATGAATCAATAAATTAGGATAATCATAATAGTATAATCATTGTGGCATTTTTAACCTACTTCAATAATAGTGTATATATTATCATTGTTAAATTTATTTGTTATTTATATGATTTCTATTCTTATTATTTTTTTAGAATGGGATATCAAAGTTTAATGGGTTGCATAACCCATCCATTAAAAGATCCTAACTCGATGAAAGTTGTCAAAGAAAGGAAAAAGCATGACCGATTCAATGGAATGCCAGAAGAAGAAGTTTCTAAAAGAACCCTACCAGATCATTTAACACAAAATTTGGATATTGTAATTGTAAGTGGAGATCATGAATATTTCAATTCAATCAATCATTATTAGTTCAAAATTCAGCTTCATCTTCACTTATTAAATTATTTTTAATGATTGAAATTGTAATTCTTTTTTTGGTACTTGTTCAATAGCGGGTAGCATCAAAACCTCCCTTGTTATCTAATCTTATTTCACATAGCCTCCCTTATTTCCTCTAACCTAAGCTATTCCCTTGTTTATTTTTTGTTCCTGGTGTAAGCTGTGAGTTAGTCTAATTTAATTATGGATGTTGTTACATTGTGGGAATTGCCATCTTCAGAAGAAGAGGCTATCAAATATTTTCAAGACGCCGGGTTATTTGCAAAGGTGAAATATTGTGATGAAGGTCATCAAATGAAGTTCGACGGGAAGATTAAATGGAGATGCTTTCGTAGTTGTAACGGAACCGTTTCTATAAGGAAAGGAACGTGGTTGGAGGGGTTGAGGATTTCTTTTTTAATGTCTTTAAAATTCTTTTATAGGTGGTCCCATAATTTAACAACAATACAGTGGACGAAAGAGAAGCTCAAACTATCCCAGGCAACTATCGTAACGTGGAACAAATTTTTAAGAGAGGTTTGTACACATAACATGTTGTATATGTCAAGTTAAGAAATTGGAGGGCGTGGCAAAGTCGTTGAAGTAGACGAGAGTCTTTTTTCTAAAATGAAAATGAATCTAAAGTGAAAATTCTCGAATCTCAGTTTTCAACGGAAATACATGTTTTGAGGTCACCTAAGTCCAAATAACCAAATGTCGCAAAATGGTGTGTGTGTTAACAGTCTAGCTCATAAACGAAAAGTAGTATGAAACTGATATTAAGTATTTAAGGTTTGTATATGGACTGGATGTGACAGCAACTTTTTTAATTATATATCCATAATGTTTTGATCTATTTAATATATATCTTGTAAAATAAAAGTATTTTTTATTATTACCTTTATTTTTGTTTTTGTTCACAATTTCAATAATATCAATACAATACAATAAATATGAATACGAAGATATAATAATATGAATATAATATAGTAAATATGAATATGAAGATATCATCAGTGGCTTATCAGAGTTATCAGTGTTAAGGTTATAAACATTGGCAGAGAGCAGTCCGACGCTACCCGCTATTGAACAAGTACCCTTTTTTTTATTTATGAGAATTAGATTATGCTTTCCTAAATCTTATTTATATTTTAATTTTTTCATTATTATGCTCATTAGGTGATTTCCTGATGTATAATTTATTGGTATTGATTTGTATGTATGTGATAAGTTAAAATACAAATATTTTTTTATGTTTTGGGATTCTATGCCTTCCTGAATTGTGGACATTTTTGTTAGCATAATATTTCAACATACGTATTCAGTGAAACAAACTTTTTAAGCATATACGTTATGCTTGACTGGTTATTAAGTTCCAGAAATATCAAATTTTAAATTATATGTATCATATAAAATATCATATTTTATTTTCTGTTAGGGATTTTTTTCTTTTTTTTTTAAATTAATGGTACCATTGCTTGGTTATGCTGCTGATGATCTTGTAGAATTGGGTGGAGATTAAAAAACTGTTAAAAGATGTATAAGATGTTTATGAATTATTGAAGGAAGTTAGTCGACTGTTCTACATAGCATCGGTGTAAATATTCAGAGCGCAGTCTTTTTTTAAAAAAAGATTGCGTCCTGAATATTTACAACCAAAGAATGTTTGTGAAATATGAAAAAGAATTAAATCTTAAAATGAACACCAAGGGGTCAATCTATCTTCGATCAATCAATAAGGGGTGCTGACAAAATGTATTTATTATTATTACTACTACTACTTATTTATTTTTTTAACCAATGTGATATTCAGAGAGTTAAAAACAGGTATTAATTTAATCTTATATTTGCTTTTTATTTGTTTTTTTTAGCAGCCATTTCACATTTATGCGTCACTAGTTTGAGTTTCATCTAGGTTAACATTTAAACTGTTAAATGTATTCTTTTTTAAAAATTAAAAATGTAATATGTGTTTAGTTATTCCAAGTTAGGGAGCAGGGTAGCTCAGTGGGTGAGCACTGACTTCCAGAGCTCAAGGTCTCAGGTTCGAATCCAGCTGATGACTAATAATTTTTCATTTGCTGTTGGTCGACCATGGAGCTGGGAAACCTTCCTGGGGCAAACCAAGCCTCTATAAAGTGGGCACTCTTAATTAAATAATTAATTAGGGGGTAAAACCTGACAGTTGAGCATGATATTGACCCGTCACCTCCCTTTACAACCATTGGCCTTTTACAAGGCCTTTACTTTACTTCCTCACATTGTACTGAACCCTAGACCCTTCATGGATTGTTAGTAGTAGTTGTTTTTTTTTTATTCCTAGTTATCCCCACAGTTAACTTCCTCTATGGTCAGCTGTGGAGGTTACTCAGCCAACCAATTAGTAGCCAGTGTTCTCTGTAATCAATTTACCATCTGGCAAACCTCAGCACATCTCTTTCTAAATCTTTTAGAGGCCTACTTCTGGTGTGGTTGGGGTAGTTTTAAATGGTTAATTTTACTTTTAAACAAGCAGGAAGAGTTATTAATGTATCAACATTGATTTATTGTTGTATTATATGCATTCATTTTGAAATTTGCCTGTTTTAAAAAAACAAGGCGAATAGTTTACTTCAAGAAAGAAGGGCATATTGAATTGTTCTACTCCCTAATGACCTATATCATTGGCTAACCAAATAAAGACTACTATTACATACTACATACAGTTTGTATCTGTTGACTGTACCACCAACCACCTTCTTTAAAATGCAATAAATAAAACAAAAATTATTTTTAAAAAAATAAGAACTCTTGGCTATGGAAAATTAACATATTTCCAAAATTTCTTTGATAACTGTACAAAATATGTGTAATTTCACAATAAATGAAATTTTATATTAAAGGAAACTTTTTAAAACCAGCGGAAATAAAATAAACAAAAAATAATACTTCTTATATATCATAATAATGATTAAAATTTAATTATAAAAATTTAGTTTGACTTATTTTAAAATTGTCTATTCAATACAAACAAAATTGCTTACTTTTTACTATTTATTTCTCTTTCTCTTATTGAGCATCGTCTATTTGGTTTTCCATTATTATTTCCTCAAGTGACATAGGAAAAGAAATATCCTTAGCCTTGCAATGACTAGCTTTCCTTCCTCAATTTGCCATCTATAGTTTTGTGGATCGATGGCAGTAGGAGGGGAATAAGTATGGTTATTCCACCTACCAGCTACTAAATTGGTCCGATTAAGTTTTTGTTGCAGAACCTGATGGCAGGGTGTTTTTGAACTTGCATCCGAAAATAAATGTACCATCAATTCATCCACTTTGCCAATTAATTTTTTTATCTTCACATGTAGCCAACACATTTTTCACAATTTCCTTCTGTGAGATTTGGACCATTTCTGTATCCAACTGAAATCAATGTTTCCTGTGCTCTGTTACATTATTCACCAATAGTTTATATAGTTTTGGCTTTGTGGAAGTTTAATCGCCTTGTGACAATGTAATCACTTCCCAACTAAGAACCCAATTTTTTTCTTTCTTTAAATTATTACTAATTAATTACATTTAATCAAATGTATCCCATCATATCCGAGGCATGTTCTATTGGGTTGAAGCTTTTTTTTGTGGAATACGCAGCACGCTGATTCAAGCTTCGTTAAGGTACTTAGGTGTTACTTGAGGAATGTGAGGCCTCTTATTATTGTGAAGTAAAACTAAATCTTCTTTAATAATTGGTGCTAAAGGTGTCACATATAATAATGAATTAGGTATAAGATACCTGATAACATTTATAGTGCCTTAATATAAATTACACTGCACCATCACTGAGTTACTTATATACTACTTTTGACTTGACAAGTGATCTACATACCATTTTACAGGTCAATACGAAGGAAGTTGACAAACTCTTTTATTTTCTGAAATGTTCAAAGCTTGACAATAGAATTTAATTCTTAATGAAAATAAGGCGATCATGACTCATGTGGTTGAAGCCTTTAATTTAAAAACAAAGAAAATGCATACATTAATTAATGCAGCCTTAATTTATTTATTAATTAACATTTCACCTTAAATACTCTTATAACAATGCATTTTTGACTTATTCTGTATATTATTCTTAACATTTTTGTGAAAAAAATCATTGTGACATATCGAAAATTGTCAAAGTTATGAATTTTTAAATTTACCCATGTTATTGAGCTGCAGTTTTTGGTAATAATTAAATTTTAGAAAATTAATATCTTGAAATACTTTTTGAGATCCAAATAAAATTTTGCATGGTTAATACAAATATAAAACTGAGACCAGTGGTTTCCTTCCCCTTTATATGAATTGGCCATTTATTGTTATTCCACAATTCAATTTGTAATTGTGATATGCGCTACTTATCAACAAATTAACTAATTTATTTAATAAATTATTGAAGGAAGTTAGTCGACTGTTCTACATATCATATCAGGGTGATAAATATTCAGGACGCAGTCATTATAAAGATTTTATTGGTGCCGAAGTTTCAATATAAACATTTGGGTCATTATCAGGGCGTGTTTCGAGCTCTGAAGGTATTCTAGTACTGAAACGTCGGCACCAATAAAATCTTTATAATGACTGCGTCCTGAATATTTACCACCCATATTTTATTTTATGATTATGAATCATGACCAAAAAATTATATTTTAACAGATAATGTATTTAATAATTAATTAATTATTATAATGAAAAATATGGTGCACCTATCTAAACTTTGATGACTTAAACAATGAAACTTCGAATTTCTCAACAATGAAACATGTTTCTGAACATTTCTAGAAATATTGTAATGGTGAAAAAGGCTGCTGTGAATAACTGGAGGGGACTGGAAGCATAGGTAAGCTTGTGAGTGCTCGCAGTCTTAGAGTAGGAATTGGATGAGTACTCGTCATTAGAATGGGTTAATTTAATATCTAGTTATT